TTTGCCAAAAAAACTATCCAGTAGTTTTTGTCATCCCCTAGCCTATCTACCATAAGAATATGAGCGAAATAGAATTTTCGACCCTTGCCGAGTTATTTTCCATATTTATGGACAGGGACTCTTAAAATAGAAATTTAATTTTGAAGACAAGGACGTTCAATAGGAACTGACACACACAAAAACATCAAAGTAGGCTTCACGGAATGTTCCTTGGAGAAATGTTATCTAAAAGTGAGTTTCGGAAACTGTTCGGTAAATTCATTGCATTGTAGTATTATTGTATGGTGCACGTTGTTAATCGCTGTAATGTAATTTTACGTGAATGTACATACTAAAACAAAGGCATAAGATAATGACAGGTATCTTAGGACAAAAAGAAAGGAATGAGTTATTTACAAAAAGTAAGCAGAGCCCAGCACGTAGTGCATAAGCTTGTTCCATGTTTTTACTACTGCTTCTCTCTTATGAAGATATATTGTCATCGTTAAAGTGCAACTAAACCCCAATTTTCTTCCTTCAATGAAAGCTACTACTTTTCTCAATTACTGGCTTTAACGAGAAAATTATCTCGATTGATAAAATCCCCGCGTTTCTGTACAGGCATTTAAAGTTAGTCAAACTGTAATTTCTGCGGCTACGACCGAGCAAGGACATGGCTGAAGACATTGGGAAAACATATTTGCGGCATTTGTGCTTCATATTTTGTCAAAAATATTTTATCAAAATTAGGCGCCATACAGGCGCATGTGACTACTGCTTAAAAGGTGGAAACACAAAAAAGAATTGTTCTATATATGCAGTTATGTGGAGAAGAATGTGTGCAAATGGTTAGATCGTTAATGTTGGTGATTAGAGGCATTCTTGAATGCTAATAAGCTTTTGTTAAAGAATGTTTGAATTTGTACAAAAGAAGAAAAAAATGGTTCCCTAATAAGCCATTTTCATTGTATTAAAATTCTAACATGGCCATGAGGTTTCGGGGAATAAAACAAAAGAAATTAATTATTCATTCCTCAACCTCAATGTGATTTCTTTTCTTGTATTTCCTCAAGCCTCCAAGTTGGAATTTTAATACATCAAAAATGGCCTATTAGTACATGTGGGTGTCGCCAGTGTAACAGTTAACAGAATCAAGTGTAAAACTATCAGCAGTGTATAATGTATGGTGTACGAAAAGTAATCAGTAAACAAACCTGATGAGACAATCAAAAACATTTTTTTAATATTT